CTTTGGGTTTGTGGCTGTGTGCCTGCCCTGGATCTTGTTGACCTGTCCTGTTGTGTGGCGTCTGGAGAGAAAAGAGGGAGTCTGACGTGCACTTAGGAGTCGGGGTGGAACAAGTTCCTTTCTTTGACTTTGTAGGGAAGTAAGTAACTGCGGAGTTGCGAACACAGTAGGTGTTCACTTCTGGCGTAGTGATCTAACGAAAGCGTTGATTTGGGTACACGAGAAGTGTACTTGGGTTTGCGTTTTTCACAGTTTTTGTTGGACCCTGCCCCGTTTGCTTTTCTACTTTGTTTTTCTGCTGGATGGCGAAGCGCATATCTGGCTGGGGGATCTGCGTTTCGCCTTTTGTGGTTTTTTGTTTGTGGTTGTTTGTGCTGTTGATTTGCCATCCTACATGACCACAGGTGTCAATGTAGATGTTATTTTAAACTGCTTCTTCTCATGTAAGGACCGAGCCTCAGAGCGTGATCGGCCATACCAGAGGAAAAAAACAAACAGATCATCCTACCTCAACTTGGACAGACTATGTCGGAACACATTCAAGGCTTAGGGAGGGCGTCGGCCTCTTTATATAAGGTTCTCTGTTTTGAGCAGAAACCATTCACTAAATCCCAGAAACTATTTACTAAATTCTCAGAAACCATTCACTAAATCCCAGAAACTATTTACTAAATTCTCAGAAACCATTCACTAAATCCCAGAAACTATTTACTAAATACCCAGAAATCATTGACTAATTAGGACCATTCTGGATGACTTTGGGGAGAATCAAAGCAAGAGGGGTTATGGGTCTTTGTGTGGGAAAAGTGATGGAACACAAACAACAATTTGGAGTTGGGATACTGGATGGTGGACAAAAACAAGTGTAATAATATAATATAATATAATATGAGTATGATGAGTCTGAGTCCATGAGTCCAATCAAAATTGTTTCTAGTCATTACTTGGGATTCCTTGGAATGTTAATACCGTGATTCCATGAAAGTCTCAGATTCTATATCACCCCAATAGAACCTGACACTTCAAGGGCCAGGTTTGGCTCAAAAGGCCAACTTTGCTGCAATTTGCTGTGGGGGTGATGGAGGGCCGCGAGTCTTCTTCCGAAGACTGCGGGTCATTTGCCCGGGCGCTGCTTGCGCTTGAAAGTGACAGTGGCCCTGAAGATGACTGGAACCTTGTTTTGGAGAGTTGAGTTCAACAATGGGTGGGACAAGATGAATGAATTTATGGATGAATGATGGGCATCATGGATGCATGGATGAAAGGAGGGATGGATGGAAGGATTGAAGGAGGGATGGATGGATGGAAAGATGGATTTGCAAATGCATCTAGCTCAGAAAGCAACATAGTCACCCGAAAGTACCATGTGGGCCCATGTGGGCCCAAGTTTCAATTGCCCCAAAGTTGATACCTTGAACCAGGTTTAGGAATTCAAACTTTAAAAACTCATAGATTCATAGATTCATAGACTAAACCATAGCCTCGAAATTGGGATCTGTGTGTGTGTGTCTTAGTTTTGAGGGTATCTTAGGGTCTTGGACATTTCATTACATCTGTTGGGTCACATGCCAACACTAACACCTCAACAGAGAAGGTTGCCCCAGGGTGGAACTCGGAAACGCATTGATTGGTTTGTCATACTGACAGTCAGGGTTTAGTTTGGTAGGGTGATCTGTTATCCTACAGTTTTGCAGCCTTAGGCCACAATATTTTCAATGGGTTACCCCACAAACATTCAAACTGCGAGCTGATCTTCGTGGAAGGGCTAAACACATGGCATGTGACATGATTATGCCTTGTGCTGACTACTGTAGGATTGAGACATTAGAGCAAGTCGAACCGAAGAGCTTTCACTGGGCACAGCTCTACTCAGACAAGCTGGGCTTGTCCTCAATGTCTGGTTTGCTTGAGAATGTTCGGCCGCATGTCTCAACGGAAGGGCCATTGGAATTTGAGGAGGGTTCGGAATTCATGACTGAAGACTACTAGATCGCATTACACTTATACGTATAAGTGTAATGCGATCTTATACTGTGACTATTAACTATCATATCAATCATGAAAACATTACATATAAATTATATAATAGTTTATATATATAGTTTCATAGTAAAATGATAGTAAGTATATAATAATATATAGATATATGATATATATATATATATCCACTGCTCACATACATCATACCATCTAGACTGGGCTATATAATCAAAAAAAAAATAGATCTTGCATGGCACATTTCATGGTATGATACCTTTGTGAATGTGCGAGTGTGATAACTCTGTCATACCATAGCCTGATTTGGCACACTCTTGCCTAGCACTAACTTTATGGTTCCCAACATTCTTGGTGGCCCAAACTGAGGGTGGAAATTGCGGAAGGTTGTGCTGGAGCAGCGACCGGGACATACATCATGATTCTTGGTTGCAACACTATCACGCTGACCGACTTCTGTCAATGATAGTTGTGACACTGATTTTTTTTGATCTCAAAAACAAAGTAGAATATCAGGATATGAGTATCAGCAGTGTGATATGACAATACAATTTGACAATGAATGTTGTATTTCCGGAGCCCCAAACAAAGTATTTTGTATCAGTGTTTGTTAAGACTACCAAGTTTTGTATAATGCCAGGCTACGCTATGTTCCATATGCTGGAACCCTCCCCGCAGTTTATGAGTCTTATGAGTCTACTATGAGAGTAACCCATGGCCGCCCATGAGCTGCCATTCCTTGGGTCTAAGGAGGGAACTTGCAGAGACCCTCGGGTTTTCCACCCAGACTGTTTCCGTGTCGGAGTCTTTGCGTTTCAAGCAGAACTTCATCCGGTTAAACTACCCTGGAAACAGTTTCTTGGATCGTGGTCATTTTGGGTGGTGTCACGGTGTTTGATATGTTTGCTTCTAGTCTTCAGTACTGAAATTTACGAATACTGTTCATGCCCTTATGGACCACTGAGAGTTTGAAGGGAAAATTCTGTGGTTCTCTTTTTGTATTGTAAATATGGCAATGAGGAAAACCAGTGGTTAGTGGCCCCACTAGTGTCTCAAGTTAGATCAAATCCATTAGGGGTTATATTGCTCTGCCTGGATGCAAATAACAGCTTTACTTTACAGAGCTACAACATCGGGTTTGGTAGGGTGGGTACTTTATCCACTGTCCACTGAGTTGGACAAATTTTTGACGACATTGCTGAGCAAGCCAATTGGTGCAGCATCCCAGAGGACAAGACCCGGGGAGTTTCAGTGGTTGGTGGCCGGTAGGTAAGGAACCGTTTCTTTCAAACAACAAAGCATGGAGCATGAAATATTTGATTTGATATATTGTATCAAGAAGATTCATGAAGATAAACACATCATATCAGATCACGCAGCCCTAGTCCTACTTGTGGAATGTACATCGTAGATCATTTCAGTCAAAGGAAACAGACTCAGACCCAGACACACAGACAGAAGAAATTTTCGTCTATTGTTTTTCAGTTTTGCCATGGCAGGACGACATGTGGCTTTGGGGGCCTCCGTGTCAACCTTTCAGTCGGTTGTCCACAAAGCGCAAGAAGAGCAACTTCAACCCATTTCTGGAATCTGACGCAGGTCCATTTGTTGAAGGAAGTCGATTTATAAGACCCTAAACTGCAAAGTGTGGTCATGAGTCATGAGTAGAAGTAGAAGGATGTATGGTTGAGTTGTGCCATTGTCTGACATGACATGCAGCTGCATAGTGCTGTAAAAAACTAAAATGTGTGCCCTTCACAAGCCACCTGAGGAGACCATCGGCCCCTATGCGCAGTGATGGAGGAAGTTCCTTCCCTTGCAAACCTAGGGGGCCTTGAACCGACGAAGGGACCTTTGAGACCTGAAGGGGCCTGGAAAACTGGAGGGCCTTTAATGTTTGGCAGGCCTTTGAAACCCAAAGAATCCAGGAGGATCCAGGAGGGTACTTTTAGGTTTCTTTAAGGTGTGTCCGGTCCGTGTAAAGAATATATATATATTATATATATATATATTCAATATTCAGATTCAAATTAAATATTAAAGACTAAAGACTCAGGACTCAAGACTATAAACATATTACCCATATGACATGGGGCATTTGACATCTGATATGATGTGATATGATGTGATATGATGTGATATGATGTGATATGTGATGTTGGGATACGTATTGAAAGTCTTTTATACAGTATATATAATAGTTAGTCAGTCGTTTATAGTTTTGTTACACGTTTCTAGGTCAGCAGCATCAACATAAGTAGATGCTACATGCTTTACAAGTTATATTATAAGTTGTAAGTTAAAGAAACATGCAACCAGACTCTTGTTAATCTCATGTTAGATGTTTCCCGTTCGAGAAAAGATGTGTGTTAGTTTCTTTTTTTGGCATTCCCTTGATCATCCTTGATCCCTTCAGCATCTCAGGTTGCGGACGTCCTCACAGACTTTCCACCATCAGCTAAGGGAGCGTTCTTCAAGGAGTACAAGGCACCACTGGATAGGGTTTGGAGGCGACGTTTTCCATGAAACCGATACCGGTATCATGGTGGGAAGATATCTTCGGTGAGATAGTTTTGACAAGGCAAACGCTAGTCATAGTATGTCATAGTCATGGATCAGTGAACAAACAATGTTTAAACATATGCCCTGACAAAGTTATTACTTTTTTTTCAGGTGAAAGAAAGTTTCAAAACGGGTTGAAAGGCCCTGTGCGGCATGCCACAGATTTGGATCAAACAGTGCGCAAGAAAGCGCCAGCATTTCTGTGACACAGCAGCCCAAGAAACACGATAGCGATTGTGCGAGCAAGTGCCAGGTAGGTGAACAGAAGGAACAGAAAAATTGAATCACCAATATAAACTCTTTAAGAACTGATAAACCACATGTTTTGTTATGTTATGTCGTATCATAAACCAAAACTGTGACTCATGATTATCATTCATTCGAATAGCTGGAGAGCATTCAGCATGACAATGCTCAAACTTTGAAAGTGAACGTTGGTCGCCATGCCGCTTGCAGACCTGTGGGATGATAACATCGCACAATCAGGTGACGATGATGACAGTCAGCAACCAGTTCAGCAAGCTAGTAGGGTTAACCAAACAGAGAAAGCCCGCACTCAAAGACGCATCAACCGATACAAGAAACCCTTAGAGGAGATTAGAGAGCGGGAACAGGTTGATCAATCCATGTCTTGGGCATCTCGCATTCAGGCACATTTCTTTACACCAAATTTTTTGACAGTTCGACCATCACATGATCCTTTTGCAGATGCAGATCGAAAAACACAAGGTAAGGAAAGGAGCAGGGCAGTTATGAGTTTGCTGGTTCAGGTCCTCAAAATGCTTGTATCCTTGTTGTCACCGTCCACATCAGCTCATGAGGGGTGCCCAAGAGCCAATTGTGTCCTAGACTGTGTTGCTCTGGACGATACATCTTGCAGAATCAGGGGGAGTGGGGATGCCATGCCTTCCATCCATACCGTGATGAACACTCTGCACACTTTGCATATCTCCTTTGACGACAGCAGCTGTCAGAGTGTCAACATACCAACCCCTTACGTTTGTCTACCCTCACAACGGACCGCAGATCTCCATGACGGATATAGTGCTTATGCTTTATTGTCCAGCAAGGGTCTTGGGCGAACCTTCAAAGCTTTAGAACGGGCTTGTCGTAGCTCCCAATCACTGGAAGCAATTCTTCAGGCGTCAAAATGGAAATGTCAGGTTATGGTGGGAGACTCATTGAAAACAAATGATGCAGTTTTCAAACATGAACAGCAAGCCCTGGCAAAGCAAAAAGTGAAGAGGAGATTGGCAATCAGGTTCAGGTGTCAGCTACACCAACTTTGTCTTGTACGACGTCCCCTCGTCCTTTCAGTTGCAAGATTTTGGACAACATTGGTAAGACTAGGTCACCTTTTCGAGCAATATTCTTTCAAGAAGCAACTAGCTTTGGCGTTGATTCAAGTCTTGCGGGCTGTGGGAGGCTTTCAAAGAAACCTGGTGCGTATGGATCATGTTTTTTTTCTTTTGAGAAGGTTTGGCTGTCATATTCTCCTGATTTTCAGTTGTTCCTTTCACTTATAACTTAGACCAACTTAGACTTAGACTTTGAGCTGTATAAATTAAACATCGACAAATCCACAAATCATAAACCATTGTTTGACTCAGTTTATGATTGACTTTGATCTGAGTTCATTCTGAAATCCAAAGATCACTAGGTATGCTGTACTTTCCGAAATTTGATTAGTTACAGACATGTAGGAAGGATCGATCCTCGAACAAACCAATCAGTCAACCAACAAACGCAGCCCAGGAATCCCAGTGAGTGAACTTCCTGATGAGATGGAGACCTGGAAACTTCGTACTGAGTGGCTCCGAAAAGGATATGATTCAAATTCAAAGCGGGCGGTTCGAACTTTTGATGAGCTGATGTCGTTTTGCAATGGGGATTCTACATCAACGACCATGACTCATTGGTGTCTTCCCGGGTGTTGCGATAGTGATGAATCTGCCTTGCAGAAAGTCATGAAACTTTTGGTTCCACTGATTTGCAGGGGTTACCCGTGTCCGTTGCTTTACCGGTTTAAGCATTACAAGGTGGCATCATCCTACATGAAAAGTTTTTGCTGTTTAAACAGTGTACTTCCCAGAAGCCTGACCCAAATGAAAGAGAACTCTGACAAAAGACAAGATGCTGCAAACCGACTTGGGGATATGGTGGACTCCTTGCTCCAAGAAACAGGGTGGGGTTTTTTTGAAGATCAGGGTCAGGAGGAGTGTCAAAGTTTCCAAGCGAAGTTGGGCGAACTGTTGGACAATGATCTAAGCTACAGTTTACAGAACGGTGTCCGAAAGAGACTTGTGACTGATGAAATATCAAAACCAGAATTCAGTCAATCAGCGATTTTGATTGATACAATCGTGGATGCCATGGAGGTTGGAACGAATTTATTCTTGCAACGTACCACATGGCTCACAAAGTTGTCAGCGTTCGGAAGTGGCCACCCTGAATACCCCGAACTCGTCAAAAGAAGTACATTTTCATTTGTTCAAATTGTCTCTGGTGGTTTGGGTCGAAAACTGATTTGCAAAACCATGGATCTTTTAGATTCTGGCCTACAAGAAGCTTCACACATGGGATTGGACACCAACCCTCATTCCTTGCTCTTGTTTTTCAAACTGATTATTGCCGCTGTCACTGACCTTTGGCGGCGCATGGATTTCGATCTTTCAGTGTACCCATTCAGAGTTTTTACATGGCTGGAACATGGACAAAAGCTAGAAGATTTTGTCGGACTATGGGACACTATGATCATGGACAGGAGACGTTGTTCCAATTGTATGGACGCTACGTTTACTTCAGTGCTTGCCGACACTTACCCCATGACATTGAAAGATGAGCCACGCAATGTCCAAAGGGCTATTCAAAAGGACATTTTAGACCTTTTGGGTCACATTGCTGCATTTACACCTGTCAATTCTGATTGCGTCGAAATCAAAAATGGACAGCTCCAATGGGCTGTGGCCAAAAGGGGCGGCCAGTTTGTCAAAGCTGGAAAGAGTGCTGCAGAGGTATCCTTGCTTCAAAGTGCTGTTCGCCCGCATGGTGTCTTGCATGGGGATGTGTATGACAGAACAATGCCATCCCGTCTGACAAGTTCAGCTATTCGAAGACAAGTTGGGGTCGCATCCAAAAATCAACACACTATTGCCACTTCTGACGAGAAGGTGGCTGGGGTTAAGCGCTATCTTTTGGTGATATTGACATTGATATTGAAATATATCTTCCGAACCAAGTAAACACTTGAACACTTGAGCAATCCCCAAGCCCATTACTCAAGACACTCAGAGTTAGAATCTCAAATAGAATGGTTGAATTCTCGACGGTAAGTTTCAATATGCAGGCAAGTTAGGTTCGTATGTTTAAAGGGTTGAAAGAATTACAGTCAATCAATGTTACAGCCAGCCATATAATTTAACAACAACCTACTAGCACCAAGTGAAATCAAACAACAACTGAGGTGTTTTCATCGTTTTGCTTTTTTACCCTTCTGTCTTGTCTTCTTGTGTTATGGGTTTTGTAGTGATGTTGTATGTTCTGTTAAGTTATTAAGTTGTCATTTTGAATTTTATTTGTAACCACAATATACCCGGTACTAAACAAAATGTTCATTCATTCATACCGACCATACTTTTTGTTGTACCTTAAGAGCATGAGCAGGTTCAGAAGCCAATCGAATCTGCACAAGAGAAAGAACAACGCATCAAAGAGGCAAGTTCCCGATCTCACAGAAACCTTTCTGGGTGGAACGTATTTTGCCGTGAATCAATGGAGGGTTCCTCCTTACAAACTGGCGATTACAAAGCTGAAGTCAAGCGACTAGGGCTAGCTTGGGGAAATATGAGCGAGGAACAGAGGGAAGCATACATCATCCAAGCCAAGCATGAAAACCTACAGCGTTCGGAGCTTTCTGAGCTGCCTTTACCGGCAAAAGGTGAAGGAAAGTCAGAATTGGAACTGCAAGTGGGGAGGTCTGGTTGCAAAAAGATTTCCATGAAAAGGTTGGAGGCCAACGAGAAAGCATTCATGGAACATCAATCGTGGTCACACCCCACTCAATTGGGAGATGGTTGCTTGGAATCAACAATGAACTATTTGATGTTAATGTGGAAGGTTACTCACAATTTCTGCCTGTTAGTTCCAGGAATTCTTGCCGTCACAATTTGTGTTTCATGGTCGGTCGCTACATGATACGGATTCCAATGCTAAGACACGGGGGATATCTGGGTGTCACTTCAATCTTGTCTAGTCTGGTCTAAGTAGTTTTTCATCAGTTCTATGACAGTTGCACCCCTGTTGTTTCTGTTTTTACTTCTTTAACCTTGCCATCGGGTGTTTTAGTTGTCAGTTTAGACAGACTCTGACCAAAACCACTGGTTAAAAATTGCCACTCCTACTAAGGACAAGGTGCTCTCAAGGCCGAGTGCATTGACGTGAAATCCACGGATGAAACAGTTGACCATTTCTTGCGAGAGACTCTTCACAGTACGCTGCAGGATCTAGGTGGCAACAACCAAGACGCAACTACTACTGACCCTGTTGTGACTGATCCCCTTTGCTTCCCTGGACTGTGCGCAAAAGATGTGGTGTGGGAGGATACTTGCCGCTTTTCAAAACTATTCCATTCCCAAGTGTCGGAGAAAGGTGTGAAAGTTGGTTCGTTGCTCACTGTGTCTGTTCCGGACACTTCGCTGTTCAAAGCTTTCTTCTTAGGAGTTGCATTGAAGAAACCACTGGTGCAAACAATTTTGTTTGTATCTATGAGCGACGACCGTGTCAATATCAAAGTGGATGGATTTATTTTCCGTTCCGATTATTTGGACAACTCACCATATGTTCTCGGAGTTCTTGGAAGCGACCCAGCATAGAATGAAAGCATGTGAGGTACAACAGTGGTCATACACTCCTACCTTGGACAAAGATTTGAAGCTTTTTGTAAGCCTGGACCAAGAGTTGCAAAGGTTTGAGCTGAATCTTGAAACCAAGAAGGGAAGCACCAAGAAACCGGTCGCAAAGCTTCCTTTTGGTTTGAGCGCACAAGCTCCAAGGAAACGCAAGCCCCAGGTCCCTACTTGTAAAGTTGTGCCTGGGGTACCAAAGAAACCAAGAACGACTCATGATGCCCCGCTCCTTGACTGCCAGAGCCAGAACCCTTTACTCATTCAGTGTGAAGAATCTGATGACGATGATTGTGTTGCCAAAACAGAAAGCGATAGTGATGGTGAGAGTGACAATTCTCACGATGAGCAGGCTGAAACCAACCCAAGCATTGATGATGTTGATGTTGGTGACATTGAGCCTATTTCTGAGGTGATGGAACAAGAAATGAAAGCGGGCAAGACAGTTGCAAAAGAAATTGAAGAATGTGACCAAACCATACAAGAGCTTACCACTGAAATAGAAACGGGGAAGCCTGTGAAAACAGCTTTTTCTACGAAGCTTGGGCTTGGCTCCATGAGCTTTGCCCCAACTGCAAGGGCCAAATGCCGTTCTTGCAATGAAGTGATTCCCAAAGGGGCTGTAAGATTCGAATGGTTTTGGAATAAACTCCGACCCAATTCTTGGGTCCACAGTCACTGCTTGATGCAAATTGCAATTGCAAGTGGCTTGCGGCAGGAAACTTTGAACAGTTTGGAGAACCTTGCCTCAATCAGTGCTGGGTCCTGTGCGGACACAAATGCTGACGATCCGCTTAGATTGGAAGCCGCAAGGGTACTTTCAATGTTTTGACTAGTGCGTAAGTACGATGTAAAAGACTTTAAGAGGATGTTATGTAATGATATAATTTCAAAATTCCTACCTACTTGTTGTCCAGTTCCTACAGGCCTGCAGTATACATAGTTCACACGGAATAGGATGACATGTAACGTATTCTTTAACAATAAACAGAAGGTTGACATTTGCCACGTGCGTGCGGCTTCTTCCAAATTCTTGTGATTTGCGCGAAGAGCGTGTTGGCAGCAGCTTTTAAAACCAATGGGCCAAAGGCCCCGGGGCTTTCTCATGGTATGTTTTTTCAAACTCAAGACTCTATCCTCTTAGATCCATTGATGATTCTGGCAAACTGGTTTTTGTTTCTTGTTACCCGTATGCCAAATCCAACATTAGAGGATAACTTAATGACAATGGCTTTGTGAATACAATAGACCGAGGGTGGAGTCCAAAGAAGAACCTTTCCATGTTGCGATTTCGGGATTTGGGGCAGCCGAGTGCGAAGCACAGCCGAGTGCGAAGCACGGAAAAAATCAAAGACCTGGGGGGACCAGCCATGTGCGAAGCACGGAAACTATTTAAAGTTCACCGATGACGTTGTATTCCAATCTCTATAATTTTTCTTTTTAAATTCAGGATACGAACTGTCCATGCCATACAAAACTGTTCCATAAGTTCGATGGGTGAGACTTCGGAGGCCCATAGTTTGGAAAATCGAAGCGCCCAAACATTCATGGTAAAGTAAAATATGTTGTTGATTTTATTTACAACTACTTACTTATAATAATGTTTAGATTTAGATCTTTAGATCTCTACTGACTCTACTCTATTTGTATGTTGTATCCACGCCAGCATGTCGTAGAACCCAAATCAAACCCAGTTATATTGGTACATGGTTATGTGCTGGCATTCCTCTCCCGCATTATGTATTCTGCATTCCATTTAGGTTTCTACTGTTGAATCCTTACAAACATGTACTGTACTGACTGTACTGACATAAAAGAAAAAATCAAATCACTAATCACCATACATTGCATGGTGCCCAAACAATTCCAAATCATCGGCTACAGGCCCCTTTTGACTTCATGTTGCGTGGCTACCTGGACGATGGTGAAAGCATTGGGCTGGCAAATCTGATTATTGGATGTCTGTCATGTTGGTGGAGTTGCTTGGCAATTTGGGCAATGCGGCTTAAGCAAAGCATGTTACATGATTAAATAAGATACTGGCATGTTCAATCAGAATCAATCAATCATGTCGAGGTAGAAGTAGTGTAGAAGTAGAAGTATGTCCAAAGGTCCAAGGTCACACTAGAATTTGACACTGACAATTGGAACTAGTAGTGTCAAAATATGATGTTTTTGACTCCTTCTCAAACTTTATCTAGGACTGATCTTCGTAACATTACAACATCAAAACATGTTCTGGTCTTATGCGTCAAGAATCAACCAGTAATTTAAAGATTAGTCCCCACCTATGCTTGCATCCACTGGCAAACAAATGAAGTATCCAGAGCCCCAATGATGCTAGTTATGAGTATGAGTCTTGTTGTATTGAATCCTCAATACGGAATTTTAATGACATAACAAACCGATCATACAGGTTAGTAGCCCACTATGAGTCATCAATCATTGCAAAAGAATACAAATAGTCAAATAGTTGTTTCATAAGATTTGTTTCGGTCATGTTCGTCGGTTAATGTAGTATTCCAAATCTCATATCATCAAAATCAAAGCAAAGCATTGCATATTATATCAAGATATATCAAGTATATACCCATCATATCCATCCATATATATATAATATATATCATATATCACTATATCATACCATATCAAATCATATCATATCAAACCATGTGATGTGATTTCTTAAGCAAATCTCTCATTGTTCCGTGATTTGAAGGACATGTAATATGCATTCAAATCATTGCGGGTATGATTCTGATTATTTATCACTGATGAACCGAATCATATCATATCAAATCATATCTGAGACATATCACGACATATCACCTCACAGCATAGAACCCGCAAATCGAGTCGACTTTATACTTCGACCTAAGATATGCCAAACATACTAAAACAAAACAATCCGCCACACGCTGAGTTCAAGCAAATTCTACATGGCTCAGAGCCGGAAGCGCGTGTTCGTGGTGCTCGTCAGGAAGGATGTGTGCCCGCATCCATCCATGGTCCAAAATATCGGGGAGCTGGTGACAAAGGTTCTTCCCCATTCTTTTGAGACTCCTTTTGGTGGAGAGGGTACCCGGGAGAGAATCCAGGACATCATGAAGTACAACCGTAAAATTTTGGAAGAGATGGGCCGAGAACCAACCTTCCCCCCCCCCGCAAAGGACCGGGGGCAACCGGGGGAAACCAGGGGCTTAGAAAATCGGTCTGTGGTAAAGGTTTTTTACTTTTGGAATTGAAATATGAAAGGAAACTATTTACTAATTTTCCAGAAACTATTTACTAATTTCCCAGAAACTATTTACTAATTTCCCAGAAACTATTTACAAAAACCAATAACTGGTTTGGGCCAGTGGTGCTGGGGTGAATATGGACCGTGGGGTCATCTGAGAAGGGTCGTGTGGGGTCTTAATTTCTGGGTTCAGGGGTCTTTTGGACTACTATCACTATCCCAACACCACTTGCTAGTCTGGCAGGATGGCAAGTGCTCTGAAGCCCGCAAGAAGATGATCAAAAGCATGAAGAAAAATTTTGGATTGCAGCCATATGGGGAGTTGGAGGCTTACAGTACCACTATCTTGCCCAAGGAAGTAGGTAAACTGTTGAACTCGCGCGAGAAGGAAAGCCTGGATCTTCAGTGGGCCGTCCTTCAGGCCACTTGGCTTCAACTAGAACCCTGAGACATGTTAGTGGGGTTGGGGTTCAAATATGACATGATATAATTTAACACTCAGGACTCCAAGAATCCTTAGGATATTGATATTGTGATATTGGACCATAGTTTGATATATGAAAATACAATGAATGATAATGATGATGATGATGAATGATAATAATGATAACTAAAGACGACTTTGACTTTAACTTTAACTATAAATAAGCCGACGTAGATCCCCAACAGCGGTTGGTTTCAAACAGTGGTCCAACTTTGCAACCCAAGACGGATTAATGATGGCAGGAACAGGATTCCATAGCCTAAGTCTCTTCGGCGATTTTTTGCCCGCCCTGCCCCGTCCCCTTTTGGACCAAAGGCAAGATGAGACATGTTCTTTAAGAAAGCGCGCATAATTGAATTTACATACATTTGGTTACAAACGAATGGCAGTATTTGCAGACCACGGTGTGTCATTAAGTGTTTACAAAATTGTGTGTGTGTTGGTTTGGGATTATCTTGTCGTGCTTGGACAACGTCGGTCAGTTTGCGCAAGTGATTGGTGAAACAGTTGGTTTTGGCCAAATTGTCCATCATGATTCCAGAATTAGTTTCATGTCAATACTTGGTTGTTGTGTCACAACTGTGTCTGAAGTTTCATTGTGTGTTGCTGTTTGGTCACTTAGCTTCAAAAAATCATCTACCTGGCTTCGAGAAGCCTCACACAGGTTTGCTGCCAATATTTAGGTGTTCCAAGGCATCGAACTTAATTGCTTGATGTGGCATGTGCTTTGGTAGATGCGACATCGGAACAGTTCAAACAGAAGATTTTACAGCAACATCAGAACAGGTCAGTCGACCGACGCTGTGCGCCCACTGAGCAAACGAACATGAATCGGCATTCGGAACCCGCCACAAAGCACCCAAGATTGGCTGGGGGATTTCCGGAATCCCTTGTGTTCCTGGAACCTTGTCTTCCTGGAACCCTCGTTTCCGGAACCTTGGCACAACCCACAGCGTATATTGGAACCCTGGGTTTGCGGAACCGAGACGCGCTGATTTATTGTCACGCTGTGCCCCCCCCTGTCAGCGATTGCTCGTTGACAGGGCCTATATGGTCCTGGAACCTTGGTTTCCTTGAAAATTGGTTTTCTGGGACCCTGTCCGTAGCATGAACCTTGGTACAACCCACGGCGTATATCCGACCCCTGGGTTGTTTCCGGAACCTCGGAACCTTGCCAGAACCCTGGTTCTCTGGAACCTGGGCTGGGCTTCTTGAAAATTGTTGTTCCGCAACCTTGTCCCTGTCCGGAACCTGTGGCATAATCCAGGAAGTATATCCAAACTGTGGGTCCGCATCCGCGGTGGTTCTCGGAACCTTGTCGGAACCCAGTGTTGCTGGAACCTTGCCGGAACCCTCGTTCCCCAAACTCTGGGTTTCCAGGATGTTTCAAAATTGGTGTTCCGGTGATTCCAGAACCGCTCGAAACCATGGTAAGGTTCCCGGAACCTTGTCGAAAGCCAAGTGTGCCCGGAACCTTCCTGGCGCCGAGAACCTGGGGATCCCGGAACCTTGACGTCCCGGAACCCAAAAGGTAGCCAGAACCCATTGTTCCCAGAACCTTGCTTGAAAGTCTGGTTTGCGGAACCTGGAACCTTGCCCCGAACCCTGGTTCCCGGAACCCTGAGTTCCGGAACCTTGCCCGGAACCCTGGTTCCCGGAACCGGCAGCGGTTGGTTTCAAACAGTGGTCCAACTTTGCAACCCAAGACGGATTAATGATGGCAGGAACAGGATTCCATAGCCTAAGTCTCTTCGGCGATTTTTTGCCCGCCCTGCCCCGTCCCCTTTTGGACCAAAGGCAAGATGAGACATGTTCTTTAAGAAAGCGCGCATAATTGAATTTACATACATTTGGTTACAAACGAATGGCAGTATTTGCAGACCACGGTGTGTCATTAAGTGTTTACAAAATTGTGTGTGTGTGTTGGTTTGGGATTATCTTGTCGTGCTTGGACAACATCGGTCAGTTTGCGCAAGTGATTGGTGAAACAGTTGGTTTTGGCCAAATTGTCCATCATGATTCCAGAATTAGTTTCATGTCAATACTTGGTTGTTGTGTCACAACTGTGTCTGAAGTTTCATTGTGTGTTGCTGTTTGGTCACTTAGCTTCAAAAAATCATCTACCTGGCTTCGAGAAGCCTCACACAGGTTTGCTGCCAATATTTAGGTGTTCCAAGGCATCGAACTTAATTGCTTGATGTGGCATGTGCTTTGGTAGATGCGACATCGGAACAGTTCAAACAGAAGATTTTACAGCAACATCAGAACAGGTCAGTCGACCGACGCTGTGCGCCCACTGAGCAAACGAACATGAATTCGGAATTCAGTGAGGGGCCACAAAGCACCCAAGATTGGCTGGGGGATTTCCGGAATCCCTTGTGTTCCTGGAACCTTGTGTCCTGGAACCTTGTCTTCCTGGAACCCTCGTTTCCGGAACCTTGGCGCAACCCACAGCGTATATTGGAACCCTGGGTTTCCGGAACCGAGACGCGCTGATTTATTGTCACGCTGTCCCCCCCCCTGTCAGCGATTGCTCGTTGACCGGGCCCTTTTGGTCCTGGAACCTTGGTTTCCTTGCAAATTGGTTTTCTGGGACCCTGTCCGTAGCATGAACCTTGGTACAACCCACGGCGTATATCCGACCCCTGGGTTGTTTCCGGAACCTCGGAACCTTGCCAGAACTCTGACCTTGTCCCTGTCCGGAACCTGTGGCATAATCCAGGAAGTATATCCAAACTGTGGGTCCGCATCTGTGGTGGTTCTCGGAACCTTGTCGGAACCCAGTGTTGCTGGAACCTTGCCAGAATCCTGGTTCCCCAAACTCTGGGTTTGCAGGATGTCTCAAAATTGGTGTTCCGGTGATTCCAGAACTTTGGCACAATCCAGGCTCTGGCTGCTCGAAACCATGGTAAGGTTCCCGGAACCTTGTCGAAAGCCAAGTGTGCCCGGAACCTTCCCGGAACCTTGACGTCCCGGAACCCAAAAGGTAGCCAGAACCCATTGTTCCCAGAACCTTGCTTGAAAGTCTGGTTTGCGGAACCTTGGGTTCCTGGAACCTTGCCCCGAACCCTGGTTCCCGGAACCCTGGGTTCCCGGAACCTTGCCCCGAACCCTGGTTCCCGGAACCGGTTCTCGGAACCCTGGTTCCCGGAACCGGCGAAACGAGGCGGCAGGGTCGAGCAGTGCCCCGGAGCACCCCGAAGGCTATGTGGGCTGAGACCCCAATGCATTCTGCTGTTGGGGAATTATAGACTACTTACTAAAGATTAAAAATCTAAAAAAAGTTGAAAATCACCTATCAACATAGAGACATGTAGTGACTAGTTTCGAACCGTTTGAAACCGTTCGAAACTACTTTCTAGATAATAGCTTCGAACCGTTCGAAACCGTTCGAAACTAATCATTACGCTAGCACAAGTATAATCCCAGATTTTTCCCAAATAGTTTCAAATAGTTCGAAACCGTTCGAAACCGCTCACTAATTTTATGATGTTATGCTGGGGTAATGAATAGTTCGAAACCGTTTCGAACCGTTTCCAACTACTTTCTAGAAAATAGTCTCGAACCGTTTCGAACCGTTTCGAACTATTCACTGGCAGCCCCAAATATGATATATGATATAAAAACATATTCTATCTTTTTCTAACATATTTCATATTATCTTGTATAAAACTGAAGATCTAACATGATCATAGGTACATGAGTCATGATAGACTTTACTTGGCTTTACTAAATGATAATGTAATCACTCACTCACTCACTATATTATTCATTATTCATGACATTTTTTGATCTATGATTCGATGGTATGATATCATTACTACAGATATTTTCAGATTTGATCATGTGATTGGTGATTGGTATTATGTAACAGCGTATGTAACATCATGTTGGCCAAAGAAACACATCATCCCACAGGCAATGTATACTATAGTACATGTGACATGTATAATTTGACATGAACTGATTTCGAAGATAACTATCACATGTGGTCCGTCTTAAAAAAAATCATGGGTACGTGGTGCTGTGCTATATTACAAGTGTATTGATTCAATGATTAGTAATGATAATAAAAATGATATAAATCATCATCATTTATCATCGGCAAATAATATACCAATAATTTAATAATTTAATATTGCTTAACTAATAATCATCAATATAATTAATATAATATAATAACATATTGATATTGACATAAATTATAACACGAAACTACGACTCTGACAATGGTTAATAAATATCTTACATCTTTTACAAAAGAACAGAAACAAAAAATAACAAATTCATATCCTGCTACATTTTACCGCTGCATGTTTGCAATTCCCACACTGTGCCCGATATCTCAGGTGAATGGCATCGATGGTGAGAAACGATTTTGCAATGTGGATTTGGCACGTGCCCTGGCTATAGGTTGAGTTTATGCTAGACTGGCTCGTGTTTATTGTCAGGCAATATTCTTAGGTTAAGGGCTAAGGTTTCAGCTTTTGGCACCCAGCGACCGAAAAAGAAGATACAAAAGAAAATCTTTCAGAAAAGGAAAATAAGAGCACTAGAACTGCATCACTTTCTACTCTTGAACCCTTCCAACAAAATTCAACTTACTTCAACTTACCGTAAATCAAATCTTGGTTGGCCAGCTACCGCCCCACTAAGGCAGCGCAAGTCGCCATGCTATTGGCATGGATGGGCATGTGAGCTGCGTGACCACTTCGGTCAAAATCTACGACTTTGCTACGCGATCTTTGTTGAGCGGTGAGGACGGGATGGCCCGTACTTACTTTTTGTTTAGCAAAAAGGTGAGAAATACAAATTTGGGTTTGGTTTTTGACAGTTCGCCAGAGGAAATGTAGAAGAACATGATGACATGTTGTCTATGGTTGGTCAGTTGGACATGTTTCATTGGGATGGAAGGATATGGACGCAGCTAACATGTCACAAAATACTGAGCAATCAAAAGCCCA